TGTGGATGGTATTCTCATCACAGGTCACGGTATCAAATGCGATGAATCCTCGGCTACCGGAGAGTCTGATCTGCTCAAAAAGATGTCTGGAGACGAGGCCTTCAAGGCTATCGAAAGGCATGACAACTTGAAGAAGGTCGACCCATTCATCCTTTCGGGTGCCAAAGTCTCGGAAGGTGTTGGTTCTTTCATGGTCACCGCGACTGGTGTTCACTCCAGCTACGGAAAAACTATGATGTCCCTCCGCGAAGACAGCGAAGTCACCCCACTCCAGAACAAGTTGAACGTTCTCGCAACGTACATCGCCAAACTTGGTGGAGCGGCTGCCCTGTTGCTCTTTGTTGTACTCTTCATTGAGTTCCTTGTCGGCCTCAAGGGTAGCGGTGCTACCCCTGCCGAAAAGGGCCAGAACTTCCTCAACATTCTCATCGTCGCCATTACTGTCATCGTAGTCGCCGTGCCGGAGGGTCTGCCTCTAGCCGTTACCCTTGCCTTAGCTTTCGCCACCACCCGCATGTTGAAAGACAACAACCTGGTTCGCCTGCTCCGATCCTGCGAAACCATGGGCAACGCGACAACCATCTGCTCCGACAAAACAGGCACATTGACACAAAACAAGATGACGGTCGTCGCTGGTTCGCTGGGCACTGCTCTTCGATTTGGCGACCACAAACTCAAGGCACCATCAGCTGAACCCATTGATGACGGCAGCAAGGGCAAGGATGTGGTGGAGTCGCCCGTAGAGAATCCGAACGATGTCTCCGCTCCCGAATTTGTTGCGACCCTGAACGCAGATGTCAAGGACGTTCTGTTACAGTCCATCATTCAGAACACGACTGCCTTCGAGGGCGCGGCTGGTGGCCCTGATCCTTTCATTGGCTCCAAGACGGAAACTGCTCTACTTGGATTCGCACGCGACTTTCTTGGCATGGGCAACGTCGCTCAGGAGCGCTCCAACGCCAACATTGTTCAGGTCATACCTTTCGATTCAGCTATCAAGTGCTCTGGAGCTGTTCAGAAGCTTAACGACGGTCGCTACCGAATGTACGTCAAGGGTGCTTCCGAGATTCTGCTTGGCATGTGCGACAAGATAGTCACCGACGCCAACAAAGAACTCGTTGAGACCTCTATGACTAGCGACAACCGCGAGACTCTTGAACAAGTCATCACCACCTACGCCTCTCGGTCTCTTCGAACCATCGGTCTCATCTATCGCGACTTCGAGAGCTGGCCGCCTGCTGAGTCCACTAAGAACGAGGATGACCCAAGCCAAGCTGTGTTCAAGGACGTTTCCAACAAGATGACTTTCCTGGCCGTTGTTGGTATCCAAGATCCTCTGCGAGAGAGCGTCCGCGAAGCTGTCAAAGACTGTCAGCACGCAGGCGTCTACGTACGCATGGTCACTGGTGACAACGTTCTGACCGCTAAGGCCATCGCCGAAGACTGCGGTATCCTCGTTCCTGGTGGAGTCGTCATGGAAGGTCCTACCTTCCGCAAGCTATCCAAGCGAGACATGGACGCCGTCATTCCCAAGCTGTGTGTCCTCGCTCGTTCTAGTCCGGAGGATAAGCGTAGACTCGTCAAGCGCCTTAAAGAGCTCGGTGAAACCGTTGCTGTTACTGGTGACGGAACCAACGACGCGCCGGCTCTCAAGACTGCTGACGTCGGTTTCTCCATGGGTATTGCTGGTACTGAAGTCGCAAAGGAGGCATCCGCCATTATTCTCATGGACGACAATTTCGCTTCCATCGTCAAGGCACTGCTATGGGGACGTGCGGTCAATGACGCGGTCAAGAAATTCTTGCAATTCCAGATCACCGTCAACATCACCGCTGTCCTGCTTACCTTCGTCTCAGCCGTATCTAGCAACGATCAAACCTCTGTACTGACTGCTGTCCAACTGCTCTGGGTCAACCTCATCATGGACACCTTCGCCGCCCTAGCCCTCGCAACTGATCCTCCTACGCGCAGCCTTCTCGACCGAAAACCCGACCCGAAGTCTGCTCCTTTGATTACATTAAGGATGTGGAAGATGATCATTGGTCAAGCAATCTACCAGTTGGTCGTGACATTCATCCTCTACTTCGCCGGCGAATCTATCCTTAGTTACGATAGTCCAGAAGAGAAAGAACAACTGCCCGCACTGGTATTCAACACCTTCGTCTGGATGCAGATCTTCAACGCGTTGAACAACCGCCGACTTGACAACCGCTTCAACGTTTTCGAAGGTATCACACACAACTGGTTCTTCATCGTCATCCTGGCAATCATGATTGGTGGTCAGACCATGATCATCTTCGTTGGTGGTGTCGCCTTCAAGGTTACCAGGCTCAACGGTGCTCAGTGGGGTTACTCAATAGTCTTGGGTTTCCTTTCACTACCCGTAGGTGTAATCGTTCGATTAATACCCGACGCACTTATTCGCAAGTGTATCCCGGACTTCTTCAGGCGGAAACAAACTCCCGAACTTGTCGTCTCAGACGATGATTACCATTGGAACCAGGGCTTACTGGAGATCCGCGACGAGCTTGCTTTCCTCCGCAAAGTCCGAGGTGGGCGTCTTAGCGCCATGAAGTTCAAGGTGCAACATCCCAAGGAGATGTTCACAAAGTCCCGCTCTAGCCATTCGCTGCCTGGCACCCCGAACAACGGTCCTCAAGATGATGGTTCTCCTCCTACTCCCAACAGCCGCCGTCGCACCAGGTCCCGCTCCAATTCCGCTTTCGGTCCAGCTACTGTTATGGCTGGTATTGTCGCAGGTAGTGTCGCCGGTTGGTCGCCAATTGACCGCGGTCATGGTGACAACGACTCAATCAAGTTCAGCCGCGATGCGACGAAGCAAGACCTCGAGGCTCAGGATGGTATCGAAGTGCATCCTGACACCAAGTCGACTGATCCTATCCTGGCGCCCGATGCCAGCGAGTACCGTGGTCCTCCCAGCCAGAACATGGACACAACACCTGAATTTGTTGTAGGACCGTTCTCTGGCCATTCCGGCGACCAGGGCAAGTCGACTGGACCCGGCACATGAGGTCTTCTTTCCCTTTACCCTATAATTCGTACACACCGTGTCCTCTAATTTCCTTTTGTCACCAACTTTACATTGTAATGCATGCTTCACGGTGTTCAGGAGTCTTTCACCCGAGTATGAGCCATACTGTACATACCCCTTGCTCTCTCGATGTTTCTTCCTCCTAGCGCTCCGCGGGTACTGTCTCGCTCATTGTATTACTGAAACGTATCTTTCTTATTCCTTCTTCGAGTGTCGAGAATAAGCTCTTCGCAACGATTTTGTGTCTTCTTCACTTCTACGAGCGTGGCAGTTGCGGGGTAGCTTTGAACATCAGGCAGCGATACCAATCAATGAAATGGAAAAGATAGAAAACGTTTTGTCCCTCCATGACTGTGATTGAATATTGGAAATGCTATGTTGCGAGCACGAACATAAATGCGTGCGCAAGAGGTAGGATGGCGCAATGCAGGTGGAGCTTGCTCGGCACATGTTCGGAAACATGTTGCCCACGACGTCATCTTAGAAATCGTGAGTGCTGACAAAATGACGCTTGATCAGTTCTTGGCTGCTCCCAACATCAACTCTTATTTCAGGTAGACATTCTATATCATTTACTGCACTTCGGTATACCCCTTCTTCCAATTGCGTTTTGATCTTGCAGTAAACATGGCCCACCACGTCCTCCTCATCGGCGGTCACGGCAAAGTTGCCCAAATTCTTACACCGCTCCTGCTGGCCAAATCATGGAACGTGACCAGCATGATACGCACTGCCTCTCAGCAACCGGCCATTGAAAAGCTGGGACAGAGTCAACCCGGGAAATTAGATGTACTGGTCCATAGCGTTGCGGATGTGAAGAGCGAGGCCGATGCGAAGCGCATCTTGGAACGGGTCAACCCGGATTGGGTTGTCTGGAGCGCCGGTAAGTACTTTCCAGGGCCGGTATATCATGGGTCGTCAGCGTATGCTCACAACTTATAGGAGCTGGCGACAAGGGCGGCGCCGAGATGACATTTGCAGTCGACCGCGACGCAGCCATGGCGTTCACAAAAGCCAGCATCCACACACCCTCCATCAAGAAATTCCTCACAGTATCCTACCTTTCTTCCCGCCGTGGCCGCGCGCCTTGGTGGAACGATGAAGACTGGAAAGCGGCACAGAAAGTGAACACGGAGATCTTGCCAAACTACTTCAAAGCCAAGGTCGCAGCTGACGAGGTCCTCACGATACTTTCCCAAGACCGAGTGGCTCAGGAAGAGAAAGATGGTGTACCTGCTGAGCAACGCTTCTGTGGTATCAGTCTGAGGCCTGGCACGCTGACTGAGGAGCCGGCTGGAAAGGTGAAGATGGGCAAGATTGGAGCTGGTGGCAAGACGAGCCGTGCGACGGTTGCAGAGAGCGTCGTTGAAGTTTTGGAAATGGATGGCGTGAGGGGTTGGGTCGATGTTATCGACGGTGATGAGGAAATTGTAGAAGCGGTGAAGAGCTACGTCAAGGAAGGGCAGGATGCTATTGAAGGCGAGGACTTGGCTGAGATGAGGGAGAGGGTCAACAAGCTGTAATGAGAGTTGCGGAAGATCTGCTTCACGCCGCGATGGTGGTGTTAGATGAACCTTGTCATCCGGAAAATGTCTTCTTTGCTATCATGTCTGTAGGTTACAAATGTAGCATCTAAAGTTCATCCAGATTGATCAAAGCTATTCACATGTACACTTTCTGTTCACGTATAGAAATTGATCCGTATGCTAGAGGGCCAGCAAACATTTACTTCATCTTCGACTGCTGACAGTCCTCTCTCCATCCGCATATGCTGGACAATAGATGCTTTGGACTTAGCTTCAAATTGATTCATTGTGCCACTATTGTCAGCCTTTATCGATCTACTCGTCTTCCCACTGTCTATCACATCATCGCCCACTAGAGGAAGGCACAAGGTCCAAGGATCAAAGCACGACTACAGGCATGTACAGCCGATCTTTTGTGTCGCTTATACTCCAGCTCCAGCACTTCCCTGGCTATCCTGTCGCCTGGGTGCTCTATCCATGCCGTCGACTATACTTCCTCTCTTCCCCATATTATACATGCTTCCCTCGCTGCCCTGTCTGCGACCAGCTATGCCACTAGGCCCTCCAAACGTACTACTCAGCGTCCAGCCTCCTGCCGCAGGACTGGCATCCCGAATACTGATTGCGGGTGGCAGCCCCAAGCTTGGTATCTTGTCTTCCCCTACAGGCAAGATTCGTGGAGAAGGAGACGGCGCGTGGCGGAAAGCGTCAGCGTAAAAGCTGGAGAGGAGTGAAGCGTTCGAGCAAAAGGCTTCTACTTCATCTTTGACTTGCTCGGGAGAAAGCGATATGTTAGACGCAGAAGCTGGAGTAGTTGCTGCTGATGATTTGGGATCGTGAAACGTGAGCGCGGTGTGGAGGAGACTGGCGTCTTGGACTGGTCGTGCCAAAGGACTTGCAAACGGACTACGATGCGGGTTTCCACGCTCTACCGCGGGTGTCGAGGGTAGACGGCTGCTTTGACTTCCATCTGTCGTGGCTTTCTTGTGTTCATAAGGATCTACAGGCCGTATCCTACCGTTGTCTTTGGCACGATTATGCGCAAGCCTGTTGGCTAGCAGGAGGAAGTTCCCATCGTCAGTGATCTGAGCGAGTAAGCCTCCACTCTTATGTATGAACTGCGTGTATTTGTAGTCGGGTGTGCCCCAAGAATAAGTGACTTCAACGTCGGGCGGAAAGGCACTCGCAGCCTCCATATCCAGAACAAAGTTCAGCCTCCGCAGTAGAAGCTTATGATAAGCAAACTTGTCAGCTTTGGGGTACTGCGGGGAAAAGCTCGTTGAGTCCCATACTGCCTCAGGCTGAACCTGGGGAGGCTGTAATGCAAGTTTGACTGCATAGGGCGAACGGAAAGGATGATGGTCGATAATATCCGCTACCTCAGCGATGGGTACCTCTACCAGCTTCAAGCCGTACTTCTCCACACTCGTAGCCCAGGTGACGATAGCATCCTCAATGAGTTTCGCCGTGACGTTCATCCAGTCAATGCGGATATGATAACAATTGTCGGGATTGTGCAATCGGTCGTAGTGTAGTGAAATGATTTCAGGCCGATACGAACGCTTTCTGGGATCGACATCATAGCGCATGACGCGTGACATGATGACTTTTCGCTTATGCGGTTCACCGCGCGTTGGGGTCTTTTCCCCCTCTTTGAGTGAACCTGAGCTGTTGGACGAAGAATCCGCGGTACCGGGACGGGACTTGATGTTTTTCGATATCAAGGGCGACGTCCGAGGCGCCTCCGCAAGTGGGGTGGAAGGAACAGACTTGTCTGTCTTCCTCATGCCAAACCACCCTGTTCGAGATTCGGCTCGCGGCGCCCTGTACTCTGCTGCAATCTGGAAGAAGAAGTTGCCATCTCGGAATTGATGCCGCCCTTGTACGTGCTGGAAGAGACCTTTCTTCATCAGCTCGTTACCGAATTCCACCGCCTCGTCTCGGGTTTCGATATCCTTGAAGTTGGAAAGTAGCCAGTTGGTAAGGTCAAACCCCAAGAAACAATTGTAGTGCAACTTCAGATGCCACCGACGATCAAGCATTTGAATTCCTTTTTCGCCCTGGAGATCTTCCGCAAGCTTCTTGAGGTCTATACTGGATGTGTGATACTTTTCCGCATCCGAGAAGATGGAAGTCTGGAATTCGCTGTCGGTATCATTCAGTAAAGAGTGGTCTGGACCGGCTGCAACAACCGCCGAAGGATCGCGTGTGTGATACTCAATCGCAAGCGGATTTGGGTCCTTTTGCTTCAAGACGGATGCTGGCTGGAAGTAGCGCTCTTCTGGGGGAATATAGCGAAACTTCTGCCATAGCTGGGTAAGCTTACGAATGCCCTCGAGACGTATCTCTTCGGGTGAGTCTTGCACAGGCAACGGCCTGCGATGCATAGCTGGTATGTCGACTGGTATGAGCACGAATCGAGCTCGCCAGAAGCGCAGGACTTCGGAAAACTCGTCGTGATAGCCGGCCAAGAAGGTATCAATGATGTTCCAGTTGTATTCCCTCCGTGGTGGACGCAGCACAATCTCTCGAGGATCATAGGTATCCTCAAACGCAGTGCGGATGAAAGGCTTATATGGAAAGGGTGTATCAATACCAGCAGATGACTCCAAGGCCGTAGTCGGTTTCCTGTTGTATCTCCTTACCTCGACCTCTCCTCCGGCTACACATACCAGCTGGTGGATATTGTTTCCGACGCTCATGAAAACAGTATCTCCATCACTGGACATGTATTCAGGATCGAGAATGCTAGCGAGAGACTTCTCTTGTCGCCCAGAAAACTCAGCTACGGAAGAGCCAACAATGATCTGGAATCCGTGCGAGAGGCGAAAGGCAATCAACTCTTTGATGAGAGACTCTCGGCTCTTCGGTGCTTCCAGTATGTCGTCATCCTCATTTTGCGTAATCTTATATGGGCCTTCGTTGTATTGCGTTGCTATTTGTTCAACAGATGGGAACCACTCATGCGTTAAAGGTACTGCAGCAGGTGAACACAAAGATCTCCACTTTACTGTACCTGCCCTCAAGGTCCTAGGGAAGACGTGGTGCCAACGCCGATATTGGTTTTTGGAGCTTATGATGTTTTTCTTCGGGTTGCAAGGATTGACCAGGACTGCCCAAGGAGCGATCGCACTTGTTGGCGACAGAGTACGTGGAGCATCTCTAGCGCCTGCGCTAGAAGACAAATCCGGTTTTAGTCCAACGTGCTCGCCTGCCCCTCTCGCTCCTGCAAGTAAAAATGTAGATCCAGGATCTCTCACGACTGAACCAGGTTGCGAAGGGACGGTGGATCGGTCGGATTGCGCACCCCTAACCGTCTCGATCGAACGGCTTGCGCGATTGGAGGCCAGTGACTCAGCCGATGTGGGACCTGCTCGCGATGCAGGTTTAATTGCAATCGGCTGTGATGGCTTACCTGCAGAAGTGTTACGAGTGCTCGCCAGTCTTTCAGCGATAGCACCCTTTTGATTCTTCTCAACAGTCAGCATTGCAGGCTTCACTTTACCCTGACTGATGTCGATGGTGGCGTCCCCAAGAGTCGGTTTAGCTGGCGCAGCTTTTCCACCGAAGCTCATCTGCCTCAAGAACCAATTTGAAGGTCTACTTTTCAGTTCTGGCTGGGTTGTTGCAGCGGTCCCAGCACTAGTCATAGGCAAGAGTCCGGCTCGCCTTGGAGGAGACGACCTTCGACTCGGAGCTGGGGAATTGTTTGGCTTCACGTGCATAGCTCTACGATGATCTTGGGAATCTCCGGAGCCACTTCTCCTATGTGCCGTTGGGCGATCAGTTCCAACGATGCCCTTGGTCATGTTGTTCTGCCGCCGCAATATATCGGCTCGTGGCAATCCGTCGCCTTTGAAATCAGGCATCCGGTATGTACTTCCTCGAGGAGATTGGCTTTCAAGATCTTTAGATCTTTCATGCATGAGTTGCGGAAAATTTGTTTCTGGCGGAGGCCGAGCTGACTGTCCAAGTGACGGGGCAGTGCTGCGGAAAGAGGAAGACAGACGCAGACTTCGCGACAGCTCCGGGGATCCACTTGTGATGGCGTCGCTTAGCCTTCGCTTCTGAACCTGGAGTTGGTTCAACGTAGTAGAGTGTCTTTCCATAAGAGGGGAAAAGACTCCGCCATCGTATGCCTCCATCCAGGCCTTTTGGGCAGCTCTTGTCTCGTCCAGCTGGTCGTCGGTGTATTCTTTGTCACCTCGCGAAGAATATGAGCCCGCTGCAGCTGCGGAAGGCTTGACTGCTTGCGCAGTTCGAACACCCTCTTCGTTGGTCTCAAACAATTCGCGCAGATGATGCGGGTACATTGGATCTTCTTCTAGGTAGGGAATCGCAATGTCGCCCAGCTCATTCTCCATAACGCCCATCATTTGCAGCTCATACAAACGACAACGTAGAGAAAAGATACGACCCTTCTTGCGCGACTTTTTCACGATCTTGTCAGCCTTTCGTGGCTTTGTGAGTTCCAATATCTCTTCAGATGTTCCGGACCAGAAGGAGACGTCCACCCAATACGGCATTGCGAATCTCCATCCGTCTGACGAGTCAAGGGAGTTGTCTGTCGGTATGCGTCGGACAGTGGACGCGCGTGACATAGAGCCGAAATCTGGTTGGCTTTGGCGTGGAGTTTGATCTTCCTCTGTGCGCGACATGCTCGCGGCCCCGTGGCGCTCTTTGTCGTGCTCAGCCTTCATATCGGACACTGAGCGAGGTGTTTGGTACTTGAACAAGGGTACGGAATGGAGAGGCATCGGCGAGAGACACACGAGGTCAATACCGATACCTGATCCAATAAGAGTATCCGTAGTAAGTTTGAGCATGTTGTAGTCGACCTCAAAGACGCCAGTACCTGGAGTAACAACGATGACTGAGATACCCGTTCGAACAAGGTCTCGATCGATGTAATCCTTCGCGAACTGGGCTGCAGCCAGATTGATGGCTTCCAGTATATTACCTTGACTTGCGGATGAAGGTCGACCAGCTATAACAATATCAGTAGCTGTGTCTTCAGAGCTTGACTCGTCGTCCCCCGAAGCAGGCTTTACTGGCTTACGGACCAGAGACACTTCACGGAGAAACATCCTGAACTCTTTCTTGAGCTGATACAGGATGTTGATCCAATCCCCGCTGGCCATATCGCTCACGACCACTCTGTAGTAATCTCTAAACGTGCCCGAATGCGATTCCGAGGACATGTTGCTCGTCGTCCCCTCAGGCTGATCTGCTAAGAGCTCTCCATCATATTGCATCCTCGTAAACAGTATGATGGTGACCAAGTGTCGCGCATTGATCCTCAACCACCTTTTGAAGAGGTCTGGAAGGAAGCCACTGACAACCTTGTTGAACATTATCTCGCCAGCGCCTTCGGTATCGAAATCCCACATCTCTCTGGACATTTGGATGAACAATGTGTATCGTGCAGATTCGCTGCGAAAGATGGGCTTCGATTTTGGCGAGAAGTACCCCGAATGGACAGACTGGCCATTGATATATATGTGCTTGATCGTGGCCTTGATGGTACCCATGAAAAGTAGTCGTTGACCACGGTAGACGGTACGCTTGCTGAGCTCGGCAATGGCCATGCGCCACATATCCGCGCGTGCTAGGTATTCGTCACGGAACACGATCTCCACGTGATGAGCTTCGTGAGCATCTTCATCAGCCTCCGTCACTACGACTTGCATCCTATTGCGGAACCCGAATACCTTCGCGATTCTCTCTGATATGGAAACCTTCTTGCTATTAGTTGAGCAAAAGGCTACTTTGTGTAAATCTTACTTGTAGGTTTAGATATTTTGTCTTCAAGTCTGCTGGAAGCGGTTTAGGGACAAAAACGTAGGCTTTTTCCGCATCGATTTCGCGACCACCGGGAATGGTCGAGCCATTCTCATCAATCGTTATCGTTATCGAATTCCGACGATTCCTTTTCGGATGGTTATCTACATTGGAATCCTTGTGCAGCGCATCGGCTTTGAAGTGTGTCGCATCTTGCGACTGACTCTTGGATCCTGTGTGAAAGTCTCGAACAGTATGGTCTGCATGTATCGCCACAATCTGGAGGAGGGCACCAGTACTGGTGGGTAACTCTGGGAACTTCTCTCCATTGAAGATGATCTCGTCTCTAGAAAAGTTGTCGTCATGAGTCCAGAGAGTGCACACCTTCTGCACTCGAGCCGAGTGGGGGGATGAAGCGGGTTTCGACATATTGGTTGTTCCTTCTGCAAAGACGGTTGCTGGCTTCGTGCAGGATCAGAAACATGTTTGGGCTGCTCAGTCGCGTACACGCGGCGATAGTCGCGCCATCTCTGTCGTGCACGGGTTGTGACGAGTTTCTATAACGTGTGTACAAGAGGTTTTCGCGAAATCAGAGGGGTGGAGCGCACTTGGATGGTCGCGTCGCGGATGGGACTCTATAGGGCAAGGGACCTCGAGGTGCAGATGATGCCAAGACGCTAATGGCAGGCTAACCTCGGGAAGTTAATCACGATAGCGCACCCCAATCTCATCGCACTCGCGACCTCAAGAGGCTCGCTCGAGTTGATGTTTCTGTGCAATTGCGCCACCCTAGGACGAAATGCTAGATAACCGTCGCCTCACTTAGTCACATATAATAGCAAGACTTGTGAAACTTGCCGTGACAACATAGAGATTCGAATCGAACGACATGTGCTTTAGGTACGACCAGCAGTATTTCACGAGTATCCTACTGTCGAGATTCATGTGTCTCAGACACACCCAGCCTTTCGTACTACCTGTCAAACTTGAAGCGAACACTAGACATGGCCCATGTACGACTCTTACGATGATGATGCCATTGAACATGCACCGCCAGCGCCCCAGCTCCCGTCGAATCGGTTGAGGGATAGATGGGGAACATGCCATTTCATCCAGGTCTTTCGAACAGCATGGCGCGCGAGTACCCACCAGATAATTCAAGCGGAACAGAAAGTGATACCCCACGAACATGAACAGACATTCAACGCCAATACACCCGGGCTAATTTCACTGCGCCGATCTTACCATGACTCTTCAAGCAAAACTGTAAACCTGGAATGGCTTGCTCACACGAACCTCTTGAGCACCATGAACAATAACGCGGCCACTACTCCGTAAATGCAAGTATCGATCCAAGCCAGGTCCGGACTGTGTTGGGCGACCTGTTGGAGCGGAGGTGCGGGTCTCGTTCTTGTAGGTCTAGCCGTAGGTACAGCAGGAGTGGGTCGCGTTTGGGTTGTGACTGGTACTGTAGCAGTAGGTACTGATGGCGCGGCAGGCGACGCGACTTCAGCAGGACTCTCTACTGCCTTTTGCTTGCCCTTGTCCACCGGCTTGTCGTCCTGACCTTCCTTACCCAGCTCGTCGCGATAGGCAAGTCTCAGCTCTTCGGGGACTTGATCGTCTTTCCGCTTGCCTTCCTTCTCCTCAATCTCCTTGACGAGCTCCTCGCGCTCTTGCATGATGTCAGCATTGCTCTTGGCACAGCCGGCACATTTCCACGCGCCGCTGTCCTTGGCCATGCGCTCGCGTGCTTCCCTGCTGCATTCGATGCCGCCGAGCTGGCCCTTCGCATCTGTGTCCATGAAGCTCCGTATCGCGACGAGGGCTGTGCGCACGCCCCACGCCGGTTGCCATGTTTCCTCATGATGACCTGATATGCTTAGACAGATTTCGCGGTTGACTTCGAAGCGGCCAGTGGGTGTGAGGAAGCGGAAAGATGGCGGGCGGAGAGGATATGTCGATGGGAGGACTATGCGGCCGTGGTAGATACCGCCGGCGTAGGGTGATGGCTCGGGCGGGCCGCGGATTGTGAAGTGCCATTCGAAGAGGTTGGTTTCTAGAGGTTCGGCGTGGTAGTCTGAGGAGGGCGATACCGACAGTTCCGATGCTTCCTTTACTACGACACGTGTCAGCTACTTGTCACCGGTCACAGCCCAATGCTCGCGTACATATGCGCTTGATAGTCGGGTTCTTTGTGTTGAACTGCCCGCGGGTGGACATGGTCGCGGTGGATATGAGCTAGCAAGACCGGTGAGATGAGAGGTTGTGAGTTGACTAGGAGTGAGCGCGAATTCTTATGTATGTATATCAGCTGCTCTGCGGCGTAAGCGTTTGAGCGCAATCACTCGGAATGCAACGTAGACAACCGTGAAGCGCCGAGGCTGCGTCATTGGCAAGTACCGCCGACTGCTCGCAATCGATAGCCCCAGCCCCAGCCCCACTTAGTGCGTCGCGTCTCGCAAGACCGCGTAGCCTGCACCCAGAATTGCAGGGGCGATGCGATAGCAATCCATCTGCACGGAGTTTGACTCTGGACATTACGTGCCTCCGTCGCTGCAGTATAAAGACGTGCCATTCCTACCACTTATACTCATCTCGCCATGTCTTACCATCCCCACGACCTGTTGATTGCGAAGTACTTCCCGGATGAAGACCTTTCCTCCATAGACTACGACTCGGTCCGGTATGCAGCTTTGTACGTCGGTGCGCTTGATGAGGAACGTATGGGCCGAGAACCTCCTCGCATCCCATGGCCACTGCCCCCTCAGCGCCCGGAGGAACATCTTGAAGCCAGTGTGGAGCAATGGCGGAGCCAGACGCTTCGGGCTGTCGACGCGCGCGTAGCTGTCTTTACATCTCGTTCTGTTCCGCAGCACACGGTAGCAATGCAAGATATAGCGACAGAGCCTACGGCAAAAAAGCACCTTGAAGCTTCAGCACCAATAAGTCCACTCACTCCTACCCACCGCCTCCTCCTCATACCCGAGCTCTTGGAACTTATTCTCCGGAAAGCGACGGCTCAGGTTCAACATACCGCATGGGATGTCAATCGTCTTTGGCGGTGTACAATCGAACATATCCTTTCAACTCAGTACCGCTCTCACTTTCCATGTCCTCCAGTTGAACATGGCAAACCTATCGACATGGCCATATGTCCGTCATGGATGCAACCGTCAGAAGATGAGATTGCCATTGTCGAGAATCAGACCACGGATGATTCGCAAAGAGCTCAACACGAGCATGCGCTAGTCTGCTACCCAGCCAAAATCACTCAAGCCAACTCGCTATCCGAAGACGCTTACCTGACCATCCGAAGATCTTACGGACAGTTTGGTTGGATGATCGGAGCGTCTACGCCTGTGGCCAAAGTACCACGATGGCTAGACCTCAGCCAGTTCCAGATGAATCCTCACATCCTGGAACTGTTTGGTAGCCGCATGGAGCTAGATCTCGGACGATGTGAGATTTCTTTGAAGGCAGGTACTAACCAGCCTTGCCTACTTCGAGGATCGCTACCAGGCGGCCGCTTCCCAGAACTCATAGCTGACATGTTCCTGACGGAGCCTGCCTGCAAGACACTTGGCATATACATTCCCCAGTTGCATAACAATCGTTTGCGTCTAATTTCTAGAGTAACCCAGGAACATGGTATCCGTGTGGGACATTTTTTAGGCACACTTCAGCGGCATGCTGACAAGCTTCTCTCTACATGGCAAAGACAGGCCGAGATCCTTCGCCAGAAGATCCAAAACACACACTGGGCATCACTAAGCACTGAAAAGCAGCGGCTTAGCCCATGGATACATCACGCCTCGCCGACTTTCATCGTGTTTTTCGAACCGACTCGTGGATGTACTAAGACTGTGGCTCAACGGGCTTACCATTCTAGTGGCGATAGTCTTGATACACGTAGGGATGAATGGTTCAGCATCGTTGCAGATGACTGACTTGAGCTGAACTGATCGTTCTGGAAGTTCATCGGGCGTGCCATCACTGAACACGCATTTGAGTACGGCCCGGGGAGGAAGGCAACTAGCAGGTACTAAAACCTTGACTGCAACATTCCCTCAAGAGATTCCCTTCTGCAACCTCTTATACATCTCCTCTTCAGCAATCAAATCAGTCTTGAACTGCTTCGTCTGCTCGGCAACGCGCATGAGATGTTCCCTCTTCAGCTTCCCACCATTTTCCTTATCCACCAAAGCAATCCCCATAGCTGTCGACACCACATTTCTGATCTGTCGGCCATTGAATCCGAGTTTGCGACTGTCTTTCTCGACCCATTTCATAAGGTCATCGAAATTATGAACGAGTTTCTTGCCTTGGAGTTGCACGAGGAAGGATTCAAAAATGGCGATTTGTTGCGATTGCATGAGTTCTTCGTATTTGATCGCAATGTCTAGGGCAGGTGTATTAGTAAGAGGAAAAATCGTTGAATCAGCAGGTGTCGGTCGATAGACTTACGAATGCGACTCTGGACAGCGATGTCAAAAGATCTCATGCGGTTGGTGGTGAGGATCAGTATGCCGTCATAATACTCTAGCACGCGCAAGAGTACCGAGACCATGGCATTACGTCTCAGATCATTTTCCCCGCGACCGCGCGCTTCGAGAAAAACGTCCGCCTCGTCGAAGAGGAGTACGGCCTCCCATTTTCCTGCAAGGTCGAATATCTTTTGCAAATTTGCTTCGACTTTGTCGCCTTCAATCCCGATGTCAGATACTCCAACGGAAAGTAGAGGCTTGCCGGCCATGAGAGCTACACTCTCTGCGGTTAAAGTTTTTCCGACGCCGGGATGGCCTATATTCGATTAGTGGCCGTGGAATACTATCGCGCGAAAGGTTTCTCCTACCGTAGAGCATGATGACGAGACCCTTACCCTTGTCCGGCGCGAAGTCTTGCAAGCTCTTGGATTCGCCCTTGGCGTCGACGTCCTTCCCGTATTCATGTGCTTGCACGGACCATCTAACCAGGTCTTTAGAGTCCGGGTCGAGCTGCAACTTGTCGCGGAAGACACTTGCATCGGCATCGTTGGGGGGGTTGAGTTTTTCTACTAGGAGCTGCGCCCACTTCTTCTGCTTCAGCGCGTATCCGAGGACTCTTGGAGGACAATGCATGAGTTGGTCTGGCGACATGGATTTTCCAGAGGGGTGTCGATCCCAGTGAGTCTTGTACATGTCTCTGTATATCTTGTTGGCGCGTTTCTCGGGTGATAGGTTCTCCAGTTGGCCACGGAACTGGGAAAGATTTCCAAGAATTGGAGTGTTTGGGGGTGTATATTCGAAGAAAGAGTTGAAATCGACCATCGTGGTGCCCTCAATCTAAAGTCAAGTTAAAAAAAATGCAACCCAATCTAGTTAGAAGTACGCAATGATTTACCTTCTTCTTTTGCACGTATCGAGCCTCGCTGACCCGTCCATCGCCGGTGTCGGTAGAAGATGTAGTATCATCATCGTGTCGAAGGCGCCTGCCCTCATCATCATTGTTCCCAGCAAAGCTACGTCCTGTGTGGAAGTGCGCATCACCGGAGTACGTGAACATTTGTTTGCCTTTGCCCGGATCACAGAGCCTGACAAAATTCTCCCCCCGAGCGACAAGTCGTTCCTTGAGGAGAGCGATTGCGTCGTCCGATGAGATGTTTTGTTCATCTGGGCTAGTGTAATATTTGAGCGGATAGAACGGTAATTCGGCGATGCTCTTCCGATTGGAACCCCAGTGGCGAATCTTCATCTCGAACGGTACCCTGGTAAACTCAGTACCAGTCCAGTCGAAGCTGAAGCATGTCAGATCGAAGGTATGTTCTTCTCGTAGAATGAAAGAATCGCACGAGTCGACGGTGAAGATCTGAGGCTCACCCAGGCAGGGGTGTGAGACGATCAGGGTACCTGGAGGGAATAGCGTCCACAGAGCTGCGTGCGAGATGCTGCTCTCACTAACGAAGAAGTTCCTTTCTTTGAAGTACTGGTCGAGAGGGAGGATACCTGAAGATGTGGAGATGATCCGCATAAGCTCGCTCAGGTCGATACGGGCTTGCTTTTCCTCGGGCGTCTCGCTCTCCACAAACTTCTTCGCTTCATCTTCTGCTTCTGCCCACGTCCAGACCAGAACTTCAAAAGGAGAGCTGATGCTTTTGACTAATTCGTCTCCTCCGAGCTTCGACGTTATTTTGCCAATCAGCCTCTGCAATGGCTCGGCTTCGATCTGGGCCACTGATAGGACTGTTTCGACAATGTTATAACGAGGCCGAAACATGGTGGACTTGCGAAAGGTAAATGCTCTGCGACTTTCAGGTTTGGGTCCAATCTCCTTCTTCTCGTTACTTTTCGTGATCTCGTCATCTTTGTAGTCGCCAGTGTCAGGATCCCACTTGTTAACAATGATGACGTATCGGGGTTCCTCTTCCTCCTCGGCATCGTTCTTTTCAACAGGTGCCTCGGATTTGCCGTCATTTTTCTACGCTGCGGTCAACATAAAGACTTGAAAGCATGAGATTCATGTGCGTACCTGTGACGCACGATCATCGTCGTGATTTGCCGAAAGGCGGTCCTCAAGCAAGGCTATCTTCTTCAGAAGTAGCTTGATGTATTGATCTTGGACCTGAGTTGTTTCCAGGGTCTTCGCCGTATCCTAGGTATCTATTAAAACCTGCAGAGGCACGAGCGTGATGTGTCATACAAGGCCTTCGTCTGCCCCAACGGTAGCCTCGTCCATCACAGACTGCTGTGACATTTTGTAGAAAGGATGAAAAAAGTTGCGATCGGGTTCACACGCAGTGCGGACAAGATTGTGGCGAGGGCCCTTTTGTGTGTCTTTGGTGAACGCCGGATACACGCCTGCCTACATGATGCGACACCTTCCGTCGGCAACCGCGAGACCCCCAAAGGTATTGACCGGAAGTGGTCACGACATTGGGGGCCATGATTGGTAATTCGAGATTATCCAACAAGATGACAGGGTCATGTATATCCGACGGGACTCGAAAGGGTGGGCTGCATTGTCAATTACTGGGCACAAGTACCTCATCGATTGGTCTAACGGAGCGTTCATGATCTTTAGGCGTTGAGTTTCCAAGGTTTGTTTGAGCGGTTGGCGCGGGGTTGTCGCTGCAGTCATCTCACATGTGTCAGCCTATACACGAGCAATCCTTGGAAGGCGCCACGCACAAGGCTGAGTGCGACAAAGCGCAAAACCTGAACCCTGATTCGTACACCCCCAGCCTCCATATATGCATCGCGTATTGAAATTCTAAAGCTGATCGCAACCCTGCATTGTTGGATTATGTGGATAGGTGACCTGCGTTGTAACCTATGCAAGTTTCAGCTGTGCGGTAGTAGCAACGGGAAGGAGCCATGCATACCCTGCTCGGTCGCTTCCTTGCAGTGAACTCCCCCGAAAGCCGGCGCATCTCTGTTGTAAACTCAAAGATGGACATCAGGCAAGATGAAAAGCAACGAAGACCGGTGTCGCAATGGTTCCCGAATGCAGAGTGGATGTGCGTACCCTGAGGGAAAGTCTGTGGATGTTATGAGTTCGACTGACTGCAATAGGAAACATTTGCCCTTATCGCAGTTCGTTGCGGAACACAACAGTTACCTGAGTAGCAAACTCAAGCGGACAGGGCTCGGAGTCAAAGCAGAGCTGAGAAGCATTCTCAATTCCGTGCCGGAGAAATATGATGCCCCCTTGACAGATCCGAAGAAAGAGATTGATCTGCTGCAGTCGCTAAATGCTATGCCACTCCATGTGTTGTCCAACTACGTCCACAAACACGCTGAAGACCTTGGGGCAGCGCATACTACCCTGGACCAGAGACGATCTGACGGTGTCCGAAAAGCCTGGTCAAAGACGGAGAGGTTCGTCATGCAGTTCGATAGGTTTCTAAATGCCTACTCTGGAATCCTAGACATTGTCAAAACAGCCGACGCTCAATACGGCGGAATAGCTGGCTCAACACTCACGTTGCTTTTCTCGGTAGGGCACAACCACAAAAGCCGTATCGGAGTATGGCTAACCCGCGCAAGACTGTGAAGCTGAAGATCAAGAACGAAGAAGCCATCGTGTCCGCAATGGAGCAGATATCTGATCGTCTTCCAGACCTGGAGGTATACCGGAAGATCTACCCTGAGCCAAAACTAGGCTTGATGCTTGTTGATGCCTACAAGGACATCATCATGCTTGCACGAGCAGCGACAACTTACTTTCTTGGGTCGACTTGGGGTACATAGCGCCATTGTAGCATCAAGAGTTGAGTTCCTTCCACTGACGACTGAACAGGACGCCAAGTGATCAATTTTGGAAACCCACTTGGTTTTGAGGTCCTTGAACAAAACATGAGGGACAACTTCCGGCGTATCCGGATAAGATGCGACGTCCTCCTAGCGCAACGCGTGGATGAACTTGCGAACGAGCTCAAAGGTACGTATGAAATCGATGATGCATGCCGATATACTAAGATTCAACAGATAGTTACGAGCGTGAAGACAGAACCAGGGTCGTTTCGTTACGCGATGCGCTGAACATTGGGAGTTATCGAACCGAGGATGCCGTGCTCTCGCTGAAGCAGTATCGCAAGGCGCTAGCATCCAGCTTCGATGACGACAGACATCGCTCAAAGCTATGCAAATCAAATTTGATGGCCGAAAAAAAGGCACGCGCCTGGCAAGAGAGTTCGTCCTGTCTACTTATGCTCTCGGGCTGCAATGAAGAAGGTGTCGGTGAAGTGGCACTGTCCTGGCTATCTCCAGTGGCTGTGGATATCGTGCTTGACCGGCTGTTTCCACCCCGACCAGTTGCCTTTGAGATCTGCAACAGATCAAGCACGTTGCAGAATGTGCTAGCGCGGTTGATCTTCCAGCTATTAGAGAAGAATCCGGCAGTAGTCCGAAAAGGCCAGGACTGGTACGACATCCAGTCGCACATTGCCTGGGACGGTGATTCAGAAGAAAAGACCGAGCATCTCTCGGAAGCCTTACTCAAGATCATCGATCTTCAGACAGAGGAGGTGTACGTTGTTATAGACAGACCTGAGCTCAGCGAAGATGATTCCGTAAGAGACTTCGCTTCGGGCATGCTCCATTTGGTCGAGCGAACGAGAAATGTTCTGAAAGTACTGATCGTCCATCGAGCTGAACTCTGGAACTGGGAGGAGAACAAGCGAAGTGTCATCAGGAAGGGTATGAGAGACGACATTTGCCAAGCGCTTCGCATGGATCAATGCCGGTTGGAGAGCGATTAGAGTCGGTCACAGAAGACGCGGCGGTTGTGTAGGAGCGGCGAGCTTGGCATCTGTGTGCAGGAGCGATTGCGGGTCCTTTCCACGTGTTAATTGAGCTGAAGCACATGCATCACATTTTGGAGACCAACCTCAGTTGATTTGAAAACTTGGGATCGGTAGTGAAAGGCTTTCGCCATCTAAAGCTCGATTGATCAACTGGTATATTTATCTTGCAATCCCATACAGCCGTGAACATACATCATCGTGCCTATTTTTTCTTGCCGGACGCCTCGGTCGCACTCAGTTCCCTGATGAAGACCTTGGTCACGCCGTCAGGTACGTCGTCGACGCCATCCTCGAAGCCTGGGCTCACTCCAATGGCTACGTATTTGCCGTCGTTGGAGAAATCGATAGTCTGGACGCTAGCAGGGAACTTCTGGTACTGTCTTATCCTCCTCTTTGCTACGGCGTCCCACAAAGCGACTATGCCGTCTCCGCCTCCTGTCGCGAAAGTGCCGTGGACTGGGTGGTATGCGAGCGCGTGAACTGGGTAGACGATGTCCTGGCCATCAACATTTTGTCGGTGGCATTTGAACGCGTACTTGCGCGACTGCGACTCTTCAGATGGGTCGAACCACTCGACTGCTACACGTCCCTCGATGCTCGAGCTAGAGTATCCTGCATCGTTTGGCATGCAAGACACGGCGCGTGTCATATACTTCATAGAGCTCTCCCGCTGCTGCCACGGCTCCACTCCCACTTCCTCACCGCCGCCTGTCTTGGCAGCTTCTGCCAGCTTGTCCAGCTCGTAGATGTTGACTGCGCGGCTGGCCATGGCGACAACTAGTTTGGTGGGCGAGGCGGAGAGGGAGAAGGGCTTGGACGGCAGGCGGATGGCAGAGAAGTCGCCGGGTTGCGAAAGGTCGTGGAGGTGCAGTGTCGAGTCCCATGACGAGGAGATCAGGAGGTTGTGCGGGGCGGAGTAGAGTACGTTACGAACACCCTGGGAGTGTGTAGACATGATGGTCTGCGCGCCCGTCTCGAGGTCAATTCTCCGCACCTCCCAGTCGAGCCCGCAGGAAAAGGCCTCGTTGTCGTCGCGTCCGAAGCAGACATCTAGCACGGGCGCGCGGTGTTCGAATTTCTGGAGCAGCTTGCCGCCGGGCTCAGCATGCGTATCGTAGAGGTAGACATGGCGGTCCCAGGAGGAGACGAGCAGGCGTGTTGGGTTGTTGGTCGCGAACTTGACCGACGAGATGGGCTCCGTCGGGTTTTGCGCAAGCTCGAATTGGCCTGACTGGGTTAGTCTGAGTCTGTGTCGCTATAGAGTCGCTGTGGTGATATATAAGCAACTTACTTGACATGTTGGCGGTACGTGTTGCTGCTCGTGGTGGAAGCTGCGCGCTGGATCGAAGCTCGAAGACGCGGGAGTCCGCAAGCCAAACATTTGGGATCTGCGCTAACGCCCCTCCAAAAGTTCCCCAGCAACTCCCTCGTCACGCTTACACCAACCACGATGCCCTTTGCCCAACTCGTCATAGGCCCGCCGGGCTCAGGCAAGTCGACGTACTGCGATGGCATGCAGCAGTTCATGGGCGCCATCGAGCGCAAGTGCTCCGTCGTCAATCTGGACCCCGCCAACGATCACACCTCGTACACGCCCGCCGTAGACGTCCGAGACCTGGTCACGATCGATGAGATCATGGAGCAGGAGACTCTGGGCCCAAATGGAGGAATCTTATTTGCACTCGAGGAACTAGAACACAACTTCGACTGGTTAGAGGAGAGCCTGAAGGAACTAGGAGGTTTGCGACAACACTCTACGTCCTCGAAGTATACTAACAGGCTCAGATGACTACGTCCTCTTCGACTGCCCCGGCCAGGTCGAGCTCTTCACACACCACGGATCGCTGCGCAATATCTTCTTCCGCCTACAAAAACTTGGGTATCGAGTATTCGCCCACCGCCCATGGCTTGCAACTGGAGGCTAACATGAACCAGCTCGTCGTCGTACACCTGACTGACTCGATCATCCTCTCGCGACCGTCGCTCTACGTTTCCTCCCTCCTGCTCGCCCTGCGCAGCATGCTGCAGATGGACCTGCCTCACCTGAATGTTCTCACCAAAATCGATAACCTCCGCAACTACCCCAATCTTCCCTTCAATCTCGACTACTACACCGAAGTCCAGGATCTACAATACCTACTGCCGCACCTCAACCGCGAACAGACGTCCGGCATTCCGGGCCCCACCATAGCCGGCGCAAACGAGGACGTGGATCCGGACGACGACGAACCGACCTCAAAGTTCTCCGCGCTGAACAAAGCTATCGTAGAACTCGTCGAGGACTTTGCGCTGGTAGGCTTCGAGACACTGGCGGTTGAGGATAAGAAGAGCATGATGACGCTACTGCGGGCTATCGATCGTGCAGGTGGCTTCGCGATGGGTGGAATAGAGGGCGCAAATGACACAGTGTGGCAAATGGCCATGCGCGAGAACGGGGCGACTATGGACGCTCGCGATGTACAGGAGAGGTGGCTGGACAGGCGGGACGAGCTTGACGAAGAAGAGAGGAAGGCATGGGAGGACGAGACCAAAGAGATGCGCGACCCATCACCCAAGAACCCTCCCCAAGCACCACCTGCCGCAAAACCACCTACAAAGCCCAAGGATCAGGATAGTGATGACGACATGGACGATCTTGAGGAGATGCGACAGTTCATGGAGAAGAAGGACTCCGGCATCAACGTAGTTAGAAAGTGAGGTAAAGATGCATCGGACCCTTAGGCAGCGCAACGACCGCACGCCTGTTCAGCGTGCTCCCTGACGCTATAGTAGCGATGTCAGCTTTTTGCGAGCTTTCACGACAGGGACTGTATGGCTACAGCGTCCTATCTACATAGAGTGACGGTCTAAACGTCATGGCGATTTGCAAGCTTGTAGAAATCTTGCAAGGTTGGGAATGGGAGCACCGCTTGATGTACAGGGAATGGCTTGAGCCGAGGAGCTGCGCGCGACCACCATGAAGGAAGGTCAGGCACTTAGTCCAGGTTTGGATCTTGAAACAACGCGTCGCGTGAGCAAACATGCACGCGCCCGCACGGCTCGATAGTCGACTATTGTATAGAATCTGGCCCTGCACTAGACCCTAATCGATACCGTCTAATGTCATCGTATTGCTCCCTTGGCTGTTTTTGACTGCGCACATGCTTAAACGCAAGCCCTCGCGCGACCTGGTCCCCAGCGGCGGCCCCCACGTCTCCATCTTTAGCAGCGACCCCACGCTTAGTCGTCATAAGCGGAAGCGCTCGCTCTTCCGTTCCCAGCACAACAGGGCGCAGTGGGTACCCGAGCCAGAGCGCGACATGAGTGAACTGCTAGATTTCGTTCTGCAACATGAAGATGCCTTCAAGAAGTGAGTCCACCCATATATCGGCGACACCCTCCAGGGCTGCATTGCTGACTAGCACAGCCAGCATCGCCTTGCATCGCTCTATGCAGACTTTCGGCAACAGCTCGAAATAAACCCCGAAGGCTACCATGCGAACATCGCCGCATGGACGAAAGCTCTCGTCGACGCCTCGCGGGCGGGCGTCATCCCGAGGCAGGGCACCACCCACGATCTTCTGAACATACGAGCCGCCGAGGAGCTCGCGCGAGCCTTACAACACCCACAGTATGGCAAGCCCACCTGTCTACCGGCTGTATTCCATGAGGCAGTGCAAAAGAAGGAGATGGTACCTTTGAAGGACTTCATGTCGTCAAAAGAGAGCATATACAAGACATCGTGGATACCTTCGCCGTGGCAGGTGCTTCAGTGGAGCTTGCGGCAGGTTGGGGTCCTGGGGCAGGTACGGGCGCCGGCCAAGATGGAGGTCGGGAACTTCGTCGTCGTCAAGAATGTCGAAGTTGCTGCGGACGAGATACTCAAGAAGATGAAGGAGCACGTATCCACGGCTGACCGGGTACTATCGAAGACAGACTTCTTGAAACGTTTCGCGACTATACTAAATCCGACTGCACCACTTACGACGAACGACCTCGATATACTCCTCGTATTTCTTGCCCGAGACAAGCAAGCGATATCTCACAATGATCAGACGATCAAGTTCAAGCCAGAACATGAGGCTGTCCCCCTGCCTGTCACAGAAGAAGACGCCGCTATTGCCAATCTTCGCGACACACTAGCGAATATCAACGCGCAGATACCGCCATTGATGGAGAAGATTGCTCTGGCCGATGCAGCCGCACGGGAAGCCGTAGTCGCGAAGCAGATGGTCCGCGCCAAAGCTGCTCTGCGCTCCAAGAAGCTTGCCGAAAACTCTCTCGCTCAACGTTCGGATGTCGCCCTCCAGCTCGAGCAAGTCTACACCGATCTACAACAAGCCGCTGATCAGGTCGAGATCGTGGAGGCCATGCGAGCTGGTGCAGCGGCCCTCAAAGGTCTCAATGAGAAGGTTGGCGGTGCAGAGGGTGTTCAGGGTGTTGTCGATGCCGTCAACGAACAAATGGCGACCACGGAAGAAATCACAAATATCATCAATGAGACCGACCAGCCTCTTGATGAGGGCGAGATTGACGATGAATTCGAAGCACTTGAGAAGGCGGATCGCGAGAAGCGCGAGAAGGAAGAGGCCGAGAGGACCGCTGCAAGGCTAGCAGAGCTTGAGGCAGTGGAGAAGAAGCGCAAGGAGAGGGAAGCTGCAGACGAGGAGCAACGGCAGAAGGAGGCAGTTGACGCGGGCAGAACGGAGAAACAGGTCGATGAGGCGTCTCAGAGTATGGCAAGGATGTCTTTCCATCAGCCGGATGATGAGATGGAAGATCCTGAGGAGGAGAACCGCACACCTGCTTATGCCTAGGCATGCTTTGAGTACTCTGCGTTCAAATGGTTTATCTGCATAGCATCGGCGTTGCGGGATCTTATACCACAGATCAGATACCTAGGTACTGATGGTACACTACGCATTCATCATTTTGAAGAAATGTTACACTTTTACATATACAGCAACTATACACTCGCCAGACGATACTTGTTCTTTGTGCTGCAATTTAAGTTTTGACAACAATCCCTGTGAGCCCTGGAGCAGCTCGACATCTCATTGCTCCTTCGCTCCGGCGCCACTAGCCGCCGCCACGCCAAGCAATCGCAGGGAACGCGGAACCTCACCTCGACGTCGACACAACCAGCACCTATCAGCCCCCATCACAACCCGCTGCCCCTACGCCGGGACCTACCAAACCACTCTCCGCCTACCTCAGCCTCGATCCGCTCGCCTGCAGACCACCATGAACTCCATCCGCGCCGCGACCAGCGCCTCGCGCACCGCCCTCACCGCTTCGGCTCGCACAGCAGCTCCCCGCCGAGCCTTCTCACAGTCACAAACGAAGCGCTCAGGTCACGGACCTAGCTACGATCCCCCGTCCGGATGGCTCTTTGGCGTCAAGCCCGGCGAGCAGTATGAGAAGGAGGGGTGGGAGAACGCCATGTACTGGGGCTTTGGAGGAGCGTGTGCGTTTGGCGTTGTGGCTTACGCTTTCAAGCCGGATACTAGGTATGTGCAAATTTTGGGTTGGAGGGAGATGGATGGGGATGGTGCGGGATGGGTGAAGAGGTGGAATAGGAGGGAGGGGTTGTGAATGGGCAATGGGCATAGCTCCCGAAGAAGTGGGAGGAAAAGCGCAACGGCAATGCATTGGTCGCGCAGAGGCTAACAGTCCACCAGCATCCAAACCTGGGCCCTAGAGGAGGCGCGACGAAGACTCGAAGCCGAGGGTATCCTCGCAGACCCAGACACCGTCAAGAAGGAGTAAACGACAGACACCTTGAGCAAATCAACAAGACCCTAGACATGGGGTGGAAGTCTTACAGCAACACCACGGAAACTGTATATATGCTAGTGGGGACGAGGATGCGACACCTTTTTCTTTTGTGAGCTTGGATCTGGATGGGCTAGACGCTCGATAGACTATGCGATGATGGCTGAGTAGCCGAGGGTAGGCAATTGTATTTTTTTGTTATCCATGTTTGTGATTGGTATGTCCGCGGGTATGTGGTGTGATGCTGACGATCTTGCGGAACCTTTGATTCTTTGTAGGTAGAAGACGATACATGGGGAGCTGATCATTTGTCGATGTCAGACGCAATTTAGGTCCGCATACTTCAGTCATTCTCACTTCGACCAGCGCATGAGGCTGTGTGTTCTTCAACAACTCATCTCAGTTCAAGGATTGAGTACAGTACTCAAGTGCCCCTTCTCTCCATATAATCACTAGCCTCTTCGGGTTAGCTATCGCTGTGCCGCAGCTCACAGGAGGGCACGTCACAACCTCCGCAACCAGCCCTCCATCACTACCGTCCTCCGTCACACCAGACTTGTTACTTAGATCTCTCCCGCCAGAATGCCGCAAAGCCAAAGCGCACTGTTACGCCTACCCACAGAACTCCGGCTTCAGATTTACTCATACCTGCTGCCCAACGACGTCCACGTACGCCTCCGTAATGGCACGCTTCTTGCATCGGCATGTATTCAGGGCGATGCCCCTTTCCGTGGCGACGTATCTAGTTACGACATTGAATACACCGACGAAACTTGGCAAGTTCGCGTGCCCACGTCTGTGTATGCCCGTCGTCTACAGTCAACCTGGGGTCTGCACTGGTCGTGCGAGGAACACATTTCGTTGTCACACTTCTTGTTGACTGACTGTACGGACATTCCCGATCTTCTGAACATTTTCCAGGGCGTGTAAGTACATGAGGAGACTTCGTGTCAAGCGCTCACGCCACTAGTCGTAATGAAGTGTACGATCTCCTTGCTCGTACTGCGGCTATCCATGTCTCTGACCTGGACCTCATCAATTACTGGGCAAGAGCTTCCGAGGTAACCGTGCCAGTCCCTTCCGAATTTGCGAACATGCCAATATCGAATGTTAGCCGTCTGAGTATCACACTCAAGCTTCCGTTAGCTTTCTTCCAGTCAGCGGAGCGACTTTCAGGCAACGATCCTACACCCTCAGACATAGGTCCAGCAACGCAGCCAGCACGTCTTTGGCAACATTTGGGCTCCATTCTCGGTCGTTTCGAAGCTCTCAAGAAGCTGGAATTGTGGCTCGATCATAATGAGCCGCAATTCTGGGTCGTGGTCAACGAGCGCTCGACCCTTGACCCTCTTCTCACACAACTAAGTACGCGTCCCAATCTCGACGTCACCGTCACGCTACCCATGCTTCACCCGAAATTTGAACAGAACGAGCGACATTACACCGAAGACAGCATCTCCGGGAATATTGGTGTGAACAGGGTGTTGAGGATGAAAAAGCATGCTGTTATTGGTGCTCGAGGATGTATCGAAGTTGTTGCATGCAACGACTTTCCATTGTTCTCCGAGACATATCAGGCGAGAGGGATGGGTTTGTCTGCGTTAGTCGGACGGGAGCGGGAACAATGGAAACAAGGGCGCGATGTGGAGGATCAGTACAGAATGCTTACGAGGGGTCGGTACTCGAATTGGTATCCCTAGATTGTAGAGTAACTAGTTATCAGTCATTGACTCGTGGCTTCTATCGGCACACATTACAGTGCTGACTGGATCATTTTCTACTGGTGTGAGCTGCAAATGTGCACGGAAATTTAGCGATGCCCTCACTTTCACCGCTCATGTGAGCGTTTACCTCTTCGTCATCTTATTCGGCTCAACCACATTTCATCAACAACACTATCTGGCTCAGCTCAGCTCAACAATCTCTTCTTGTCACTGGATGATACCGCCGAAATCCTCAATCAGTCATCAACAACATGGCACTCAAACGCGAAGAGACAATGCACGATTCGCGCGACGAAAGTGCGCAGAACCGCTTTATACCTGTACGTACCGAGTATCCATACGCGTATGAATTTTTCATGCTAATTTAGGAACGTAGGATCTTGCCAGTCTGAATGCCTTCGCTCAGGGCTACGAGCGGCTTCAACACGATAACGACCACCTCCGGAACGAGCTTGCTGAGCGCACTCGTACTCATGAACAAGCTATCACCCAACTTCGACAGGCAGCGGAGCATCAGAGTGCCGACTATGCTGCTACGCTCAAGGCGATGGGCGAGGAGATGCATGTACTGCGACGAGAGAAAGAGAGCCTTAAAGAAAGCATCGAAGATATGGAATTTCAGATCACCCCAGTCAACGACGAGGTTACTAGGCTGAGAGCAGAGAATGCGAAGCTTCGGCGTGCGGTGAACCAACGCAACCGCGAGGTCAAAGGCTTACTTGATGAGATCAAGGATTGCAACAGGAGCTTTGAGGGCTACAAAAGGCGAGTGAAGGCTTTGGCGAACGAAGATTAGGAAGTCATTAAAGTACACAAACGAATCTCACAGTAGATGCGTCTATCATAACGAATGCAGTCAATTTGTCTATATATGCACACTTCTAGATCCACGACAAGTATATACAGTTGCGAAGCCAAACGAGAGGACAGCCGGAGGGAATCTACGAGCTCTAACAGTACCAAGCTCCAGTCCCTTTCCAGCACCTTATCCAACAACCACATGGAGCGCTTATGCGGGCTGGGCGAAGGTAGAGCCAATGGGACCGAACTTGATGTTGGAGAAGACGACAGTGGCGCCAGGTGAGTTAGCCTCAACATCCTCAGGCTTGCCAGAGTCGGTAGCGCAGGTACCACGGGCAGCACCAAGCTTGTCAGGGCTAGCATCGGTAGGGTAGGTAGAGTCGAGCCAGAGCATGTTGACCGCATGGTCATCCCAGAGGGACATGACGAGGACGTGTCCGCGAGCAAGCGAAGCACCCATGCCGTTGAGGCCACCGAGGGTCTTGAAGGAGTTTGTGTCACCGAAAGTGGTCTTCTGCGCTTCACAGAAGGACTCGGTGATGGAGTTACCGGAGACGCCCTCGATAGCGGAGTCGGAGTTCTTGAAGACCTTTCCGCCTTGGATGTAGAAGCGCTTGATGTCAGAGAGGCTGGAGCCGGAGCCGATGAACTGGGTGACGACGGTCATCTTCTTGGTGGTGTCGAGAGTCATGCCGGGGCCGTAGAAGTCCTTGACACCCATGCGGTAGCTGTTGAAGTCGCAACCGTCCTTGTCGCAGAGTCCGCCGTAGCGGTTGTCCCCGTCACCGCAGCTGACCTCGTCAGTGCACTCCTGGAGACCAGTGCCCTTGCAGGGATGGGGAGTGTAGGCAGTGGAGATGGAGTTGGCCTCCCAGATGTCCATCTCGGGGCAGCAGGCACCGATCTTGCCGGAGCCGGCGTTGGGGTCGGCGTCGGACGGGTTCCAGCCCTCAACGTTGGCTACACCGTTGATGAACTTGATGTCGTGGGGGCACTGCGAGTCGCAGTATCCGGTTCCGTACTTGGCACCGGCCTTGTTGTTGCCCTTGTTGATGCCACCGTCGGCGGCCATCTCGACGAAGTAGAGAGCACCGTTCAGACCGCAGGGTAGCTTGGAGACATCGACATCGAAGGTGAACTCCTTGCCGATGAGGTTGAACATCTGGTACTTGGTGTCGCTCTCCATGAGGTAGGTGCGAGAACCAATGTTTGCAGCGTAAGAACCCTTGGTGACGAACTGGAGGCTCAAAGAGTTGCTGCTGGTCTTGATACCGTAGGTGCCTAAGATCGTTAGCTAAGGGCTTCACATGTTGTGTCGTGGACATGTTAACGTACCAGAGTAGTCAGCACCGTCGATAGCGCAGTTCTTGGTGCAGGTGCTGCCGTCAGGGCAAGCGGTCGTGTTCCAAGAGTTGCCGTCGTAGCAGTTGGTGTATCCACTGGTGACATGAGACCAGCGCCAGTTGGCATCGAGCGTAATGGAACCCTGCTTGGTGGTGCAGCTGTTTCCACCGGTACCAGTGCAAGTCTGCCATGTCAACTTGGGGTGTGTCTCTGCTGTCGATGTGCCAGCCTGCTGAGCGCGGGCGGCTCCGAAGAGCGAGAGCGAGGTGAGGGCGAGTGTCCTGTACATTTTGGCTTCTTGAGTGAAGATATGTTGTTGGATGTCGAAAGTATTAGAGCGATGGGCTGACCTTCTTATACAACATTCTTGAGCTCATGGCTACTAATCATAGTACTCTGCAGAAGTACCCATATGACTGTTGATTATTGCAAGGTGCAGGAGATCTACACCCTTGACGTCCCTCTGTGATGTTCTCACCAATGCTGTAAGAGGAACGGAACATCGGGAGCGCAAAAGAACGCTAGGAGTGCCAGAGTAATGAAGGATAGATGAGGTATGCCCTGTTGCGCCGCATCGTGGGGTAGTCTGGGGTATTGCGGAGATCTGTGCGCCACCACGCCCGGGATCTTTGCCTTAAAGAGATAGTGTAGGGAGTGACGAATGGAGAAGCATATGGAGACGTACTATCAACCGTTGGCTTCACTGGTGGCCAAGTCTTAGCCTTCCGTCTCATTCGACAGTGATGGGTTAGCCTCGTATGTGAGAAGGCAAAGCTGTGGATCAGCACTCGTAGCTGTGTTCTTGATATTTGCATACAGTATTGTGGCTGGGTCACGAGTGACCGTATGTGCACACACCACCCAGGAGAATACATCATGCTGGCTTTCTCAGCAAAAAGATACGCGACGATGTATACTCCAATGTGTGTTGTACCTTGGGTACAGCTCAGGACCATATCGCGTTGTTTTGTGCAATTCCACCCGGTGAGCTCAAAACCCGGTAGAAATAGATTGCTTTTTCCATGATCCATGGGCATATACGAGAGACTTTTCCAGAAAGATTTTCCGGACTGGGGGGCACACTTAATCTGTAGCAGAGGTCATGAGGCTCAGATCCTTTCCCGG